GTGCACTATTTTGCCTTCTTTCACTTAGCATAATGCATTCAATATCCATCTATGTTGGAACATGTATCAGGATCTTATTTCCCTGTTTTGCCAGTGCTGCTGCACTGTATAGCACCGTTTATTTGCCCATTGATGGACATTTGAGCTGTTTCCCCCTTTTTGAATAGTATTGCCATGAACAATTGTGTACAAGTTTTATTTAATACCTTTTTTCCCAATTCTTCAGAATATATCTGTAAGAATTGCTGGGTCATGGTATTCCAATGGTTTTTTGTTTTGAGACAGGATGTTACTGCATAGGTCAGGTTGGCCACAAATTTTCTGTGTAGCCCAGGCTGGCCTTGAATTCCAGATCCTTCTGCCTCAGCCTCCAAAATGCTAAGATTATAAGCATGTACCACCACTCCCAGCTTCAATGTTAACTTCTGGGAAAAAAATGCCAAAATGTTTTCCACAGTGGCCTTACCACTTTGCTTTCTCAAAAGCATTGTATGTGAAGACTCCCATTTTTCTATATCTTCATTGTTATTTTCCATTTTAAAAAATTATGGCCATTGCAGTGGCTGTGAATTGCTATTTTATTGTGATTTTTGTGTCATTTCTAATGACTAATGGTTTTGAGCATCTTTCACACATGCGAGTTGTGTATTTTCATTGGAGAAATGTCTGTCAACTCCTTTGCTCATTATTTTTTGAGTCATCTTATTGTTGCGTTGAAAGAATTCTTTTAATATTATGGACTAGACCCTTATCAGATAAATTCTTTGCAATATTTTCTCCCATCTTACAGGTTGTCTTTTCACTGTATTGATAGTCTTTTGAGATGCATGGTTTTTAACTTGGATAAAATAAAAATTTCTCTATTTTTCTTTTTTCATGTTTTGATGTTATATCTAAGAAATAATTGCCAAATCCAAAGTCATTAAGCTTTACTCCAAAGTTTCCAAGAGTCTTATGGTTTTATGTCCTAATATTTAGGTACTGATCCATTTTGAGTTAATTTTTGCATATGATGTGAAGTAAGGGTCCAACTGCCGTTACTGATACATAGTTTGACTCCATTATGATGAAGTTGTTTTGTATGATTTCAGTATTTTAATTTTCACTTATTTTGTGTCCTAATAGTCAATCCTAGAGAATACTCCATGAACACTTTAGAAAAATGTGCACTCTCCTGTTGTTGGGTAGTTTTTATAGGTATTGTTAGGTATAATTGGTTTATGGTATTGCTCAAGTCCTCTATTTATTGTCTGACTACTTGTTCTATGCATTATTGAAGTCTCCAACTACGTATTATTGTAGAATTATATGTTTCTCTTTTTAATCTGTCAATTTGTTTCATTTATTTTGAGGATCCTGTTTGATGCTTATGTTTATAATTTTTATATCTTCTTGGAAGATTGACCTATTTATCAATTTTGATCCTTCTTTGTCTCTTGTTACACTTTTTGACTCCAAGTCTGTTTTGTCTGATGTTACTATTGCCACTCATGTCACTTTTGGTTGCAGTTTGTATGGATTATGTTTTTACCCTTTTACTTTCAGTCTGCTTGTGATTTTGAACCTAAAATGAGTCTCTTGTACAGAGCACACAGTTGAATTACATTAAAAAATACTATCTCAATCTTAAGCAAACAACTTTATTGAGATATAATTCAGGTCATGCAATCTATTTTAAGTGTATGATTCAGTGGATTTTGAGTAGATTAAATTACAGATATTCCTCATTTAATGACCTATCGGTTTAACGACCTACCTGTTTAATGGCTCTTCAGACTTACTACCCACCCTTTGGACTTAATGACCTGTCTTCTTTTTTGTTTTTTCTTTTTGGACAGTTGTGTACATCTGGTTTATAGAACTTCAATGCCTTTTTTTTTGGTAGAGCACAACTTGTACTGTAATTTTTGCTGATTATACTGTATACTATACTACTGTAGTTTTATGTTCTGTTATACATTACAGTACTGCATGTAAGTTATGCAAATAAAAACAAAGTCATCAAGTTGGGAGTTTCCTTTGACCATTTCTTTGTTCTACTGTAATGGACATACCATGTACAATTCCTCATTTAGTGACCAATTTATTTAATGACATAGTTGCAGGAACAGTCCTCAGTTGTTAAATGAGGAGTGTATTAATTTTTAAAAATTATAGTTAAATATAATATAAAATTTGGTATTTTAACCAATTTTAGGTATACAATTCAGGGCCTTACAATACCTTCACAGTGTTATGCAACCATCACCACTAGTACCAAAACTTATTGCCCAACAATACATCAATCCCTCCCTCTTCCCCTAGACTAAAATGTACAGGTAACCTATGCAGTTACTTTCACTGCTCTTTAGTTCTTTTCTTTTTTTTTTTTTTTTGGTACCAGGGATTGAACTCAGGTCCATGCGCTTGTGAGGCAGGTGGCAGGACCACTGAGCTAAATCCCCGGTCCTGCTCTTTATTTCTTCCTTAGTTACTTTTTCTAAGTTACTGTCCTTTCATTTCAGCCTGAAGGATGTGTTAGCACATTTCTTATAGGGGACTCTACTAGCGATAAATTGCCTTAGTTTTGCTTATCTGAGAACGTCTTGTCTTTTGTTGTGCTGGAGATCAAACACAGTGCCTTAAGCACGGTAGGCAGTGTTCTGCCACTGAGTTGCATCCCCTGCTCCCTCTTAGCCCTTTAAACATGCCTTCTGGCCTCTCATGCTTCTGATGAGAAATCAGCTATTAATATTAGTGCAGATCCCATGTGTGACTAGTTTCTCGCTGGTTTTTAGATTCACTTTGTCTTTGAATAGTTTGTCTCTCAGTGGACTCTGAGTTTTATCTTCTTTGCAGTTCCTTCAGCTTGTCAGGTATATAGATTTGTGTCTATTATTAAAATTGGGAGTTTGGGGCCAATGTTTAAATATTCTTATGCTGCTTTCTCCTCTTTTCTTCCAGAGGTCCTATTATGTAGATGTTGTTATGCTTGATGGTATCCCTGAGGCTAAGGATCTCTTGGGTTCTGTTCATTTTTCTTAATTCTCTTTTCTTTCTCTTCCTCATATTGGATAATTTCAGTCAACCTATCTTCAAGCTCAGATTCTTTCTTTTGTCTGCTCATGTCTGCAGTTGAACACTTTTAGGGAATTTTCCATGTGTTATTGTACTTTTCTGGACCATAATTTCTATTTGGTTCCCTTTAATACTTTTTTTAATAATTATTCTCTTTGTTTATACATCATTCTCCTGGTTTTCAGTTCCTTATCCTAAACAATGTGCAGATTTCCATTATTTCTTAGATTTTATTTAAGACAGTTGATTTAAAGTATTTGTGTATTAAGTCCAATTCCTATGCCTTCTGAGTGAGTTTGTTACCCCCCCACACACACTATTGGCCTTCCTTCCTTGTTTCTTTGCGTGCTTCCTAATTTTTATTGAAAACTGGAAAATTTCAATATTATCATATAATAACTCTGGAAATTTTGAATCCTGCTAGGGTTATTATCACTTGCTGTGGGTTATAGAGTTTTGTTTATTAACTCTTCTAAACTCTTTTTGTAAGGACTGTGTTTTTTGTCATCCATAGTCTCTGTTCCTTTAACTTAGAAGTTGGCTAGTGGTTCACCAGAGATTTCCTCAAATTCCTGGAGTAAAAAGAAAAAATACTCTCCAGATCTTAGTTCAGTGGTACCTTGGTACTCATTGTTAATTGATTCCAGGAGGCATGGAATACCAAAAATGACAAGTACCAAACAGACCGTATTGGCTTGAAAGGGTAGCAAGTAATAAGGCAATAAATGCTAAGTTCTAACTTGTGAATCAGTAGCAAATACAGATGAGCACTCAGACAAAAAAAACCCATTTTTTTGGTACCGGAGATCGAACTCAGGACTTCGCACTTACGAGGCAGGCGGTGGAACCACTGAACTAAATCCCTGGCCAGGGGACAACATTTTTATGTCAAAATGCACTGAGTACCAAATTTGGAGTGTTTCAAAGTAGTCAAGTGTCAAGGGGTGACTGTGACTGGGACACTCCTTCAATACTTAAGCATTAAGGCTGTTTACAGTTTTGGCTTAGCTTTTCATTTCCTGCTTGTGCTGAGTCTAAAGATTTGAGAGAAGTGAAATATTATGGTGTTCTCAAGTCTTTTATGGGAAGGCCTGCTTTGGGCATGCATATGCTTTCCTAGACACCTAGGTGTATGTGGGAGAATATTAAAGCTCTTACTCTCCAAACTATCTTATTCTCTAGATTTTCCTCCCAAGGTTTTGGCTTATCCATTGTTTTCCCCAGGCAGGAGCCTGTTTATTTGCCTTGACATATTTTTGAGGAATATCCTCCATATAGCTGTGTTTTCACCCTGAGAAAATTTTGAAGTTATGTCAAGCAAAGGCAGATAGTACCTTTTTGTCAGTCCATGGAGTTCCCAGACAGGTTTAAACATACATACACAATTGCCTGGGAATAAAGTCCAGTCTTCTCACTTCAGAAACAGGAACCCATATTTGGAGTGCAGGCTGCCATCTTCCAAACCACTGTCATGCCATAGAGGAGGGTGGGGAAGTGTATTTTTTTTTTTTTGAGACAGGTTCCCACATGTACTTCAGGCTGGCCTTGAACTCACAGTGATCCTCCTGCCTCAGCCTCTTGAGTGCTGGGATTACAGGCATGCACCACCACACCCGGATAAGGATAACTTTAAATACCACAAAACTCTCCTGCTATGTTTCAGTGATGTTTCTCATGATTCAGCATTCACTTGGTTGCTGTAAACATTGGACTATATTTTGGAATTCCAGTAAATTTGACCCTGACAGTTTTTCCCCTTCAGTGTTTCTTGGGAAGGACTGGACCTCACTGTATCCTTTCACTAACATCAGTCAGTCTGTGAGGGATGTTTGTTAGTTTAAATCTTTATCTTAACATCTTCGTTTGTTTAGTAGTGTGAACTTTTTCTCTGAAAGGAATAGAATAACAAATCACAAGAAACGTGACTGGAAACATTTCTATCATTAATGAACTTGTGAAAATCCATAAAATGATTTATTTAATATATCCAAAGCCAAAATCTCTTTGAACACTTATATTTTTACAAATTAATACAAACATAATAATACTGCTCCATATAAACTTTTGTATAAACATTAAAGGAAATATACAAATTTTTTTCCTTTTAGTGCTTCCAAAGCACAGAATATACAAGTCCACCTGAAGACTTTTTGTTGTCACATGCAAGAACAAATGTCCAGGGTTAGGGCAGCCTCAGGTGCACTTTGTAATTTCTCTAGACCAAATATCAGAGAGTTGGAGGTAGATTGTTTGGTGACTCTCCCTGCCCCTTCTCAAAGAAAAATAAGTTACCCAAATAGCAGCTTCTTACTCTGATGCAAACTATCCTGAATATTGCATGGTTTAAAAGGCACAACTGGGGATTACTGAAAACTCTGCTCAGCATACACAAGATGGCTACTTTGATTCTGTATGCTTAATCTTTCTAAAGGACATGGTAAGAACATTTTAAGTAGTGCTTCACTTGCTGATGCCCCCTCTTCACTCTGGAAATACCTGAAATGGCAAAGTTTAAATGAGTAAACCCTTATTGCCTATGGTAGGGGCAGCAATGTTTTATGAATTTAGTACACTGAATTAACAGCACCACCTTCCTCAACTGGGAAAAGAAACAACAAACAAAAATGGACACTTTCAACCAAAATTCCTAAGGCAAAAGCTCCAATTTTTTGTGTGTGTGGGGGTACCGGGGATCGAACTCAGGACCTTGCCCAAAAGCTCAAATTTTACTGAAACAAAATAAAAAAGTTCCACCACTTTTTCTTAGACTATGGAAGGCGATTCCCTTGACTCAAACATTCTAGGAGGCTTCAACAATATCCTGTTCCATTCTATAGCACAGTAAACTTGTCCTTTTTTCTCACAGGTCTTTTCATTAACATGATGATCTGCTGTTTATGTGATTAACATTGTTGAGAAGGCAATGGGAATCTATTTTTTCTAGTACCTTCTCCAGGTACTGAATTAAGACTCTTCTTTTAAACCTAAAAGTAGAGAGAAATTTTATTATCCAAAAGATACACCATTTATGATGTACAAGGCACAAACACAAGCTTACAATCTGCATGGGAATATAAAAATTTCCCTCATGGAAATACTGGTTTAGCAAATACTGATAATCCCAACTGAGAACCCAAGATTACATTAGTCTACAAGGATGAATGAACTAGACTCAGTTCATAGATGATTATCTTTCAGTCTAAACATCTCTGGAAAGACAGCCTTATCTATGGTTAAGGACCAGAGTTTGAGAAAATCAAGGCGAGTGAGTGGATTCTTTTCTATGTCCTGGATTGGGGCTCAACTGCTCAAACAAAACCCTGAAGGATTTCTGTTTATCCTCACCTCGCAGCTTCCTTGATGGTAAATTCAACAAACTGTTTCTTCATCTCCAGAGGTCCCTGTACTTCTTCAAGTAAAATGAAAATTCTTTCATACTCTAAAGATAATAAAATAACCACAATATTTTAAAGAATACAAATGGGAAATAAAATCAAATCATTTTACATCCTCAGTAATCATTATTCATGGGCAGAAAGTTAGGTATAGTTGGTATTTTAAACACTCAAATCAAAATGCCTGCATATGTCTACTAAGGAAACTTGTACATATTAACCAAATGTGGAGGCTAAATAATGGCTACTTGAAGTTGTTCTTATCCCTGCAGACTGCAAATACATTACCTTATTTATCTTATTTGCACTAAGGATGCTGAGATGGCGAGATTAACTAAGTCTATGTTTGTGGGTTCAAGAATCATTTTAAGGCCGAACAGTAAAGATCAGCAAGAAGAGACCTAAGCAAAGAAGTAGAGGTCAGAGAGCAGAAAAAGTGCTAATGCTGCTGACTTGAAGTCAGAGGAAAGGGCCACGGGTCAAAAGGGTAGTAGCCTACAGAAGCTGAAAAATGCAAGGGACAGATTCTCCTTGGAGTCCCTAGAAGGAACAGAGACCTGCCAACACCTTCATTTTAGCTTAGTGAAAAATATCTTCAGCATTCTGACTTCCAGAACTCTACGATAATAACTTTGTGTTGTTTTAAGCTACTAATTCTGAGATAATTTCTTATAGCAGTAAAAGGAAATTACTACAAGAAGGGGAAAAGATGATTGCATCTTTTTTGTTAAAGCCAGAGGAATTGCTTTAAATTATGTAAAAACCCAGTATTGCCCAAAAGTGAATCTCAAGAAGTAGCTTGAATCTATTCTGAACCATAGGATGAGAGAGCTCCCATTGTATTTTTTTTTAAATTTTGGTTTGTGTTTGGGTTTTTTTCTTTTTGGTACTGGGGATCGAACTCAGAACCTTGCACTTGAGGGGAAGGTGTGGCGCCCCTGAACTACATCCCCAGCCCTCCCATTGTACTTTTGATAGATGTGCCTTCACTACTTACTTCGTCCAAACTTTCGAACTTCCTTCATTAATTGGTGTTTTATATCAGCATTAATTCCATGGGCCATTGCAGGGGTAATTTGCAATGCATTTGGCATAGTTTCCAAAGTAGATGGTACTATGATATTTTGGTCATCTACAGACAGACTGCAGTTTTGAGTTCCTCCTACAAGGTCATTATGACCAGGTTTGTGAATCAGTCCATCTTTCCTGAGACCACGGAAGTCATCAGACAGAGAATCCAGTTGGTTGGATGGAAGACCATCTCCTGCCACATTCATAAACTCTGCTGGAGCAGATTTTGACAAGAAGCCATCAGATGGGGTCTGCCCATTTTCCATCTTCTCCTCATGGACATCATGAATGACAGCGGCATCTGGGAAGCAAATTAAGAAGTTGAGCCGTGAGATGAGTACATTATGTCAACCCTGTGAGCACATCACTGTGCGCCTCAGTTTTGAAAGTTATTTCATGAAGCAGGAGGATGTACCAGGTAGAAATCTGAGACTCCTCAAATTGAACTGAAGAATTTAATACAAGACCACTTTCTTCCCTCTTTCCACTACGAATATACAGAAACCAAGATAGTACAACTAAGAAACACTCACAGGTACTTGGTAATCATGGTTTACTATCAGACTGTTATGCTTTACAAGGTGAAAGCAACAAGCCTCACTTGATGTCATGATAACTTAGTCACATTTAAACAGCCGTGCTTCACTGAGCTTGAAGGCAGACAACTTGTATGTACCATGCTCTGCCTCCTGTCTATATCAAATATTCTGAGAAAACAGTTGCTCATTGGAGCTGAACATTCTATTTCTCCTCCATCACCAGAAATCTCTCTATGTATGATTCTCTTATCTTTCCCTTCTTGAAAGAAGTAGATTTCCTTTTACGCTCAGTCTGTCACCTCTGTGTCATTTACACATCTTCTGCTGTCCCAGCATCTGGGGATCAGCAGTGAGCAAGACAGAAACCGTCCCTGTCCTTATGGAACACACTTTACATGGGGACGAAGGCAGCAGGGATATGAGAGGAAGCCATAGAAGGGGCCTCCAGGACCTCTGGAGGATGGCAGGGTCTTTTGGAAGCTGTCCCTTGAGTAGAGCCTGAGGAGATAGAGCAGCACATGCAGATGCAGAGAGAGTGTGCAGGCTGTTATAAGTGCAAGGGGCAGGGCCATAAGGGGCAGAACCAGGGGCCACAGAGTACAAGACAGAGGCAGAGAGATTGAGGAAGAAACTGCCAGGATCAGGGTGAGGAAAGGATGGCAGAGCCAGGCCAGGCTCAGCTTGTGGACCACAGTCACGAGTTCAGGTTGTGTTCTGGATTCTTAGGAATGTGGAGGTCGGGTTTTCAGGATGGACACGGCCTGACCTCATTTGCTCACCCACATCTCTCTGGCTGCAGGGTAATGAATGGTTAGGAGCAAGAATGGGAATCGGGGAGATCAGAAAAGAAGCTGTCATAGTAGCTTGGTGAGAGATCATAGCAGTGGGAAATAAGGGGATTGAGAGAAATGGTAGGATACAGAGATGACATTGAATGTCAAGTTTCCCCTGGACTTGCCAAATGGATGGAAGTGAGAAAATAAAAGAAAAATCATGAATGAGTCCACGGCTTATCATCCGAACCAGTGGGTAAGTGATAGTGCCAGAGGTATGCATGAACCAGGAGGCTGTCACTCTTGAGAGTGGATTGTGGCCAATTTTTCCTGACTCTTGATTCGGTAACAGTACAGAGCTTGGCACTGATATTAGCATTAGTTACACTCGGGAAATCTGCAAACACTACAGTCTAGGGTTTGTCTACCTTCCCAACGTGCACAGGTGCTGTATTTTACCACATCCCTGGATGGTGCTAACTGCCATGTAGAAGGATGTCAGGAGAGCTGTTCTGAAGGAGGTCATGATCTGTACTGCCGTTGAAACCCATGAAACCTATTGAGTTTTATATGTCCATTAGACACCTGAGGAGATGCCATGTTCATGGTGAAATCAGAGTGTGGAGTTGAGGAGCAAGTCATAGTCTAGAGGTATAAATATCAGATCTGTTGAAATAGAAATCAAATTCATATTCCCAAGATCACACGGGATTATCCAGGGAGAGAGTTCACTGAAGAGAAGAGGTCCTGGGACTAAGCTTTGGGGCCCTTCAGTATCCAGAGGTGGGAGAGAAAGGGGAAAAAACAGAACAAAGCAAGGTATCTGGGAACACAAGAAGCTTTTCATGGAGGAAGAAGTAAATAACTGTCAAATGCTGCTAGAAGGAATGGCAAGGTGACCCTGGGAATGGTTTCAGTGGGGCCAAGGAGGAAGAGACCAGACTGTACTGCATGAGCACATGGATAGGTGACAGCACAGAAAGCAAATGCAGATCCACCCTCTTAGCCCGTTCATTGTATCTGCCTCGGAAACCTGCTCCAAATGGTGACAGCAAACATGCTCATCACGCTCTACTTTTTCATCAGTTATTGATATTTACTTACTTATCAAGCCATGTTTTACTTACTATTCACATATTAATACAATGTGTTAATTACTATATAATTATGGATCATCCCCCCATATAGATTGAAATTTTTGAAACAGAGTTACTGCTTCCCATAGGGCCTGTTGTAGTTACCACATAGATGATATAATAATGGTTTGCTTAAAGAAAAAAAAGTACAGAGAAAAGGAACACAAGAAAAGGAAAATAAAGTTATTGAGCATCTTTAAGGATTCACAACCACTAACTCTATACCTGCATGCACAAGGGTGGGTTTCAGGAGGTTTGGGTAAGAGGGGAACCATGAGGCCGAGAGCGGTCCCTTTTCGCCCACGTGGTTGGTCACAATAGGTGGTGTTTGTGGTTTCCTCAAGAGCAGGGACATACTCCGCCTTCTCTTAGCTGACATAGGACTGGGTTCTCCAGGACGTTTCAATTTGTTTTGTGGTCCTGCTACAAATTCATCTGCTTCATCAATCATCATTCCCTGGAAAATAATGAACACACTCCATTAAAGACAAAAATTCGACTCTCAAGAAATTTCAGTCTTCATATGCATAAACAACCAGTCATGAGTTATAACACTTATATAAGTCAGTCATAGGCCAAATATTTACCAACTCTGTTCTCAGAAAATGCAATTCAATTTTAATCCTGTCTATAAAGGAGGAAATTAACACACAAAGTGTTGTCCAAAGACAAACATACTACAGCAATGATTAATTGGAAAGCCTATGAGCAGCTCTTATCAACCAAAATGGGATAAACTCACAGTTGCCATTTTGTATTAAGACATCAGTAGGGGAACTATGGTATATTCTCCTTCTGGTGCTTTACATCACCATTAAGAAACACTATAGTGATACGTGCATACCCATGTTTATAACAGCACAATTCCCAATAGCTAAGCTCCAGAAACAACCTAAATGACTGGCAAGAATTATATGAGACATCTACAATATATAAATAAGTGAATAAAATAAAGGAGCGATGATAGGAAACTAGAAGGTAGGTTCTTGGAGATAGGGAAGGGACTCAGGGGAAGGGGAGAGGGGCTAAAGAGATTGAAAGTGACCAAGATAGGTTATACACATATACCAGCTTCCCAAAACAGACATCACCATCTTGTATTATAAACACGCAGTTAAAAAAGAAACATTAATACTGTACAGAATGCTACCTGTAAGTGGAGAAGGTTCACCCACACCTCAAATATGGATTTAGATATGTTCACCTTGGTACTGGGCAGGGAACAAGGAACTTTTACTCCTTTAGGTAGATAAAAGTACAGAAGGAGGTAGACAGCAGCACAGAAGGCTGAGAGCTGTTCTCATCCAAGGATAACTCAAGAATATGCGCCCTATTATTTGAACAAAATCATGATAAATGACCTTTCCAAAGGATTTTTCCCCATAAACCATACAGAAAGGGGGAAGTATTGTCACTGAGCATTTGCTACGTGCCCAGCAATGTTCTGAATAGTGTTATATGTACTAACTCACTTAATACTCCACAGAACTCAGTCAGTTAGGTATAATTATCATCCCTAGGGCTACATATGAAGAAACCAAGACAAAGAAGGATTTATTTCTATTTTTATTGCTACGTGCTTGAGATACACAATAATTACATTTGTTTTGGGGAACGGCACATACATATTGTATCTTGATCATCTTTGAACCCCTTCCCTAGGTCTCCCTTCTTATCCCCAAAAAGCCTGCCTCCCTGTTTCCTACCATCAAGGTACAGAAAGATAAAAAACACAACTCTGTAATTAATCGAGGAATACGGTGATACCTCTGAATCCAGTTTTGTTACAAAAAGATTACTGTTTGGTCTGTGCCTTAATACCCGTGGTCTTCTCCATGAGCACAGATATAAGCCATTTTGTTTTCGTGCTTAAATGGTAAAGTCAATATATCTTACACATACACATATGCACATATACCCCATATTTGATCTCCAGTCATATAATTCAAATAAAGTGAAATCACCAGCCACTTCATATTTCAAAGGGCACACTCATCACTGTCTAGAATAAGGCATGTTCAACCTATGGCCCCAAGGCCTTTTGTCCACTTTTCTTTTAATTTTTTTTTGAGGGGGACACAGGTTCTCCCTATGTAGTTCAGGCTGACCTTCAACTCACTATGTAGGCCAGGCTGGCCTCGAACTCACAGCGTTCTTCCTGCCTCAGCCTCCCAAGTGCTGGGATTACAGGCATGCACCGCCATGCCTGGTCACTTGTCCACTTTTAAAAAATGTTATAGTAGCAAATATAAAAAATAAAGGAAGTTTTGTTATTTATATACATGAACTTCCTTCAATGCAACCCAGGTAAGTCAAAAGGCTGGACACACCTAGTAGAACACTACAGATCTAAATCATGGAAACAAGGGGAAATAATTGGTAATCTCAATATTAAATGCAATAGTGTGTGGTGGTGGGAGTGTGTGCCAGAAAGGCATGGGTTCAAATCCTGGCTCTTAAAAGCTATATCGCAGTGTTTTGACACTTGACTACTGTAAGCCTTGATTTCTTCTCGCTAAAGAGCAGACAATACCATTCATCTTGCAAAATGGTCATGGATATTAAAATATAATTACTTAACGCACCAGGCCCTATTAGATACTCAACAAATTAGCTATTAGTCTTAAGCAACACATTTTTGTATCAAGAGACTTCCACTTTCCTTCCATGAAGAGCCCTGGTGTCATATTTTGTCTCTGAGTTGTACTCATCTTGCCAAAAAGAATTATAGCAAGAATTTTATAATTTAAACAGAGATAGAAATAGGTATCCTACCTTTTTATCTTGTTTAAATGGATTCCCAAAAGTATGTAGTCTTTTTGGTTGATCTGGATCAATCTCTCGAAGTGGAGAAGCCAAGGTCTTCAGATATTCCTGATAGTTACCCATTTGTGCAACCGGAACACTATGAAGGGAATCTGCAAAATCACCATCAAAGAAATCGATACGGCTGAAATGCATGGTCCTTTCGAGAGGAGATGATTATTGTCTGATTTAGCAATGTATATCTCAGATGAGATTGGGCAAGTGCAGGGTGGTATGGCCATAGACAGCAATGTATATCTCAGCATCAAATAAAATCTAAAATCTCGAATCTAGCATTCTAAAATCTTCAATGACCTCTCTTCATCCCAATCATTACTTAGTCAATCATTACTACTGCCTTAGGTCTCACATTACCAGGACCAGAACAATTCCCTTACCTGTAACCCAGGTTTGAGAATGAGCTGACTTCCCTTATACCCTCACCCTGCCTCGAAACACTATGCATCTTGTGCATTTCAAAAAGCCTAGGCTCCTTGGCATTCTCTTACCATGCAGAAAATCTTCATTAATGGGTCTTAACCTCTGAGGATTTGATTAAATATTTAGCCTCTCTTTCTAGAAAAGCCCCTATATACACAAAAATGCATAATTTCAGAGGGCTGGCCAGGCTTAGATTTGCTCATTTTACTTGATAGGTGATTCCAAATAAAGTTAACAGAATAAAGGCAAATTACACGCACAATTCTGGACACTATTAGTTCATTACTTTCGTATAAATGAGGTAGTGTCTATTGAATTCATCACAGTGTCTGGATAGTAGAGCGTCTCAGTGTGCAGTTTGGGAAATCTGATGGGTCTAGGCACTACTGTCAAGTCACTTCCAATAGGGTAAATACGGACAAACTCCTAAAATGTTTGCTATCAGTTTCAATGCCCATGTACTTGATATAAAGACATTATCTACCTTCAGGTGCTGCCTGAGGGATATAAGAACTAAAGCATGAAAGTATGGGAAGTGTGGTGTTTGTGCTGATTAATGCATACTTGCCTTTACACTTAGAAAAATAAAGTATGTCTAGGGATACAGGGGTACAAAGAAAACAAGCATTTTATACATTAAAGAATTAGGAAATAACCTGCTCATTATGCAATAAACACTTCCATTTAAGTCACACCTGGCGTTTTCTTTCTTTTCTTTTGGTGCCGCGGATCGAACTTGGGACCTTGCCCTTGTGAGGCAGGCGGTGGAACCACTGAGCTAAATCCCGGGGCCCACACCTGGCTTTTTCTTAATGGAAAAGTACTCTATTGTTTATTTACCTTCATCTTGTCCAACAATAAACTTGTGTGTTTTCAGTAGGTTCGATCTCATTCTGGTCAACTGATCCAAAAGATCTCTACGTGGAATATCATAAGCATTTCTATATGTGTGAGGTTTCAAATTCTATTTGAAATCAGACAAATAATTTCAGTTACTCCTGAGGCTTCTAATATCAAAATGTAATAGCCCTTTTAAAATCTTACCGAAGAGAGGTATATTTAATATAACTAACTATGGTAGAATTTTTTCATTGGAAAATTTTTGATTTTTAACACACCTACGAAGTATTAAAGACCTGGGGACTATCCCTTTTCCCAGTATATCACTTAAAACTCCAAGTCCAGAGATTTGCACCTTGGCGGCCTTGCAGGGCCACTGCTTGTGATCTGGATTGGTTCCCCAGGCAGCCATGGAGGTAGGCTGCTGTCACCTCCCTGGACCACCACAGGGGCTGACCCCTCAGGGAGTGCAGTTAGGTGAGAGTCCCCTGCAGTGCCTTAGGGATGCCCTGCTCCACTAGGCTGCCTGCCAGGGATCGAGGGTGGCAGGGTGGGGGAAATCGCTCATAGAGGTCCCTGCTGGGCTGCCCCAGACTCTCTCCAAGCTGCGTCAATGTCTGAGCCTCTTCCTCCCCATCCTCCTTCCTCCCTCTCTTTTCCAACAGCACTGTAGCCTGGAGGCTCCTCTACCTACTGCACTCCCATTCTCCTTTATCTTTCACAGGTGTTACCAACTCCCCAGACATATCTTGTACATTTGATTCCATGTTGGCATCTACTGGCGGGATAATTCCTAAACTGCTCCAGCAATAACTACTAAGGCCAAAATAAGATTATCATTATTTCAAAACTAAAGCAATAGTAATAACATAAATGTAGTAGACAAGCTCAAACAAATAAAAGCTTTTTATATAACAATTTACCTTGTTTAAGAGCCCAACTTGGAAGCCAGCAAATTCTTTGGTATTCAATTCTGTCAATCTCAGTGCAGTTTCCCCTGTGATTTCTTTCAATAGTTTTCTAAAATTTTTATTGTGAGCCAAGGACAAGTTGCCTCCAGAATGATTTTTCACTTTGATACCCATTTCCTGGGGAGCTTTCTTCCCCACTGATGCTAATATTCTTTCTGACTCTAGTTTGGTCTAAAATGAAAGTACATAGTATGTTATGAAAACATCTACCATATTGCTTCATTTTTACTACTTAAGAAAGATAATTTAAGAACCCCACAGAACAATTTTCAATTGCAAATCACAGAGAAACAAACAATTAAACATTTTCTTGTGCTTCTCTGTACTAGCACAGCAGAGAGGGGCTGGAAAGACAAATAATACATTTGTTTCTCTTGTCTACTGTCAAAATTGTGACTGAATCATGTAGAGAATGGAAACCATGCACAAGAATTTTATTCCTAAACATTTACAAGCACATTGTGGTACTGAAAAACCTAGTCTAAATCAACATACTCATTTCAGACTAGACAGAAAGGTTTAAAACTCTGTATTTATACATGTAAATTAGTGCTAAAATTCAGATTAGGTAGACTGGCATTATATCTGAAAAAATTAAACCTTATTTCTAGCATTGGGCTATACAAAAATGTCTTATAAGGTAATGTTTAATTGACTAAATTTTACCAAGTACAATTTGTAATGTGTACGCAATAAGCTTCTCACTAACTTACAAAGAAAAATCCCTCTTAGTAGACATTACACTGTATTGATTAATTTTGCCTGAGAAGACATTACAGCAATATATTTGGCATATTTTACATTTTATATACATGGAAGATAGTTCAAAGAACAGTGGTAACATAGTTATTAAATTGGTAATAGAAATATTATAAATTAGTAATGATCTTTTCTTTCTCTCTAAAAGAGGAAGTTCTACCAGTGTCTAGTAAGCTCAAAATAATTTGGGTTTTCTTGTGGTTTGGTCAGAGATATTTATTTATTTTTTCTAATTCTTGAAATTAAGTATATGTTTATTGGCTTTAAAAATTTCCTAAGTCATGAAATATAAGAGCAAATGAGAAGTCTGTTTCCCTAAATGACTTTGAAAAAACTCATTTATAAAACTATATAAGCAATGTGCCACAGAAAGTCCCAGAACTTGCATTAGTTTCATTTCTGTTCACTATTATTCCTGGTGACACAGCCTTAAAGGCTTAAGGTAACTATCCAATAAAAAATAAATCTATAGATCAATAGATAATAAAGTAACATAAATAACCAAACCAAAACATTTACAACAACAACAACAACAAAAATCTACTAGCAGAAAGGAATAGGGGTTAGAGGGACACTTGGCAGGTACGAAATCTGGGTTTACTTTTACTTTCTTTTGCATTTATGAGCACACTGAACTGGTAGGAACTGGTAAACTCCAGACTGTATTTAAGATTTTGCCAGTTTCTAGCTAGGTGTGTCAGCATCCCAATTGAGTCCCTTTAGCTCTTTAGTAAAATGTGACACTGTACTTAGTAATGTCACTTTTCCAAAGGCTAGACTTCCAAACATATCCAGCTTGAAGCAGTAGAGTCACTGAAAATGCTACTATGGTGCCCTACCTTGGAATATGTTTGTGCCTAAGACAGTAAGACTGCTGCATTGATTTGTCACATAATACAATTGTATGGCAGTAGAGCTCTAACTCAACAGTTCTCAAACATTTTTATCCTATGAGAATGGGCTAGGTAGAGGTGAAAAGTATGATAAGGAGGGGTGAGTGGAGGATGAGGTACTAATAGAGAGGGGCAGGCAAGGGACAAGGTGAATAATGGTAAATGAGGTGGGGTATAAAGGAACAGAACTCCACTCTCCAGGTCTCCTTGGGGCCTATCACTCTCAAGGTTAAGGAACACTGGCCTCATGTCCCCCCACTCCAGGGAAAAGCAGATGGCCATTCATCCAAGGCCCAGTATGTGAGTGTAAGTCCTTCATGTGATGCCTGAAAACGGATTTCAGGCAAGTCATTTACTCACAACGGGCCTCTGTGTGCTGACCTACAAAAGGGGGATGCTTTAGCCCAAAGTGACTGGAGGAGAAACTAGGTTGAGGATAGACAAGATGTGACCCATAAGAGAATTCTATTAGGTTTCTGCCCCTCTTAGGCCACAAAATATCAGCCAGCTTGTAGGTAGGACAAACTGGCAGGCAGAAGGAGAAATGGCACAGCATCGAATGATGCTGACAGACTCTTAACTGCAGTTTAATGGTGAAGCTAGAAGCCATAGAGAATCACATTACTACTAATCCATAAAGTGTAGAGATATATACACATTTAATTTGAAAAATTACAATTACACTAAAGAATAAGGAAATGCACTTCTGAGGGCAAAGGATTTTTGTTTGTTTGTTTTTACCAATACTACCTGTTGGCTGAGTTTTTTAAGGTAAGAGATAACACTGTAACTAAGTCCACAATCTAAATTATCTGATATCAGATTTGGAGCTCCCATCATCCTTAGTGCTTTCTTTAATGGCTATAAAGAAACAAAATACACAACAGTAAGAATAGAATAAATCTTAAAATACTCAAAGTTCAGTTATAAGGGGCAAAAGGATATGATTCATTTCTTAGAAGTCAAGGTGCTGCACATAAAACCAAACATGGAACATTAAAAAGTGGCAATGAAAATAGCAGAGAAGTAAGAAGCAGAAAGTAAAAAATCAGAAGAGAGTGGGATAAGAAGAGCAAGTAATAGCAAATTCAAACAAGTAAATTGCTTTCAGTCTTAATTCCCAAGTCACAAAATCATTTCACATTGCATATTTTTGCGAATCCCATTCCTGCCATGGTCAATACCAACACACCCCAATTTCGCCTCCCAGTGAGACCAGTGGTCCCACTGAAGATTCTGCCTTTTCACCTCTAGAAACTTAGCTTCCCACAAACAAGGCCATGATGTTTTCAGTCCCCCCATTTCATAATGTGTCTAAGACACATTTAACAGGCAATAAACAGGTAAGTCTTCAAATTTTGTTTTCAGAGGGAAACCCCATATTGAGAATTTCTAGAGTTAAAAAGGGAAGTTGGCGTGATACGTAAATTGAGACCTACTTATTCTTACATTCCAAAATTACAGTTTCATAAGGTTAGTTTTAATAAGAGAAACATAGATGTGTTTAATAAAAATAACCATGGCAGTTAAAAGAAACAAAATAGAGGAAACAGTGCTTTTTTGTGCCATCATGACATCTCGAAACTCTTACACATGGTTTGAGAAGACAGTGATGACACAAATCTTTGTAAAATAACAAGATGACTATCTTATTGCAAGAATAAAGCTTTTGATTCATTGGTTCTTAGGACAAGAATCATCAGTTGACACAGTTAACACATATATACATATAAATACATACTAATAAGTAGTATGGAGGCAGAGTTTTTAAGTAGCTGTCAAAAGCCTGTCGCCACTTCAGATTTGGCTTAAGCTTGTGAACTTTAAACAAGTCATCTGAAACACAAAAAGCAAATAAAATATGACATTATTCAGGTCTTAGATGCCAAGATCTAAATTAAGCAACTCACACCTAGAAATTTCAGATTTTCACAACATTAGATAAACACTTCTTTGGAGTTTGTCTTTTTCTGGTGGTTGAATTTACCAAAATTATATACATTATATATAATGTATATATTACAATGCTTTGACTTTCAATTTTTCAACTTTATGATGGTGAGAAAGTAATGTTGAGTAGAAATCAAGCTTCAGACTCCAAGTCTAAAACTTTGCTCAGTCTAGCAATATGCAGTATCACCTCTCACAACGCTAGGTAGCAGCAGTGAGGTGCAGCTCCCAGTGAGCCAAGCAATCATGACGGGAAATAACTAATACAGCGGCTACAGTGCACTGCATTGCTAAGCTATGATGATCATTCGGCTAGGGGCATTAAATGCATTTAAATGCACTTTCAACTTACAGTGGGTTTATCAGACTTAACCTCATTGTAAGTCAAGGAGCATCTATATTGTATTTGTCTAAAAAACAGTTACATATTTCTCTTCCACCTATAAAGTTACATAAAATATATTAAAATACTGACTGATCAACTTGAAATATTTTCCTGACCTGTTCTATTGCTAAATTTACTGTAATAATTTTCACCTGCAGGCATATTCATAGGCACCGGTTCATGGAATATTTCTTTCATTTAAACATACAGGATGTTATTCTTTGTGCTGAAAGATCAAGGTAAAGAGACTTTATATGAGAAAAATGTTAAGCCTCTAATTGCTATGCAATGATAGGCAAGCTCTAAATTATATTTTGGATTCTGCATAACTGCCTCATACTTTGATTAGCCATGTCTCCCTCCCTTCATTTCTTTGATTTCTATATTCCAGCTTTTTGGGGGGCGTGTATACAGTTTGAAGATGGAACCCAGGGCCTTGGCCGTGAGCTACATCCCCAGCCCCTTTTTAATTTTTTTAAATTTTGAGACAGGGTCTTGCTAAGACACTGAGTTGCCCAAGCTAGGCTTGAATTTGAGATCCTCCTGCCTCAGCTTCCCAGAGTGCTGGGATTATAGGTGTGCATTACACACAGCTTGTATTTCAGTATTTTGAACCAAACTTTGTGTCACTCAAATATAAACTATTAGTTATTGGATGATTGTAATAGCATGCATAGATAGGTTCTTTAAAATTATGTATAGCTAAACATGTTTCTTGATTATCATACCCATTGACAGAACTAAAGATATTTAAATATGCAGACATTCTTTATCTTTTCACATTTAAATTTAATTATTTTAATACTCTAAATACATTATATATACTGCATACAGATTTCCAAAACATCTCATTTTTCCCTCCAAGTGCAAGAAAAATGTTTCTAATATAATTCAAAATTTGTAACAGACATCAACATGAACCTTCCAAACATAGGATAAACACCAAATATACTATAAATTCATCTTCTATTTTGTTTCATCATGTTTCATTATTTTTTTAAAATCAAATGCTTTACTCCCAGAGATAAAACCATGCACAATTTCTCTAGAAATAGAGGCATTCTTGGAAATTCTGAATTCCTTTAGTTAAGAAAAGCAATTATATATTTTTTCCTTTGCTGCTACTATACATTATTCACTCCTGCTGAAACGAATTTAAATGAATTTACAGAGCCATAAAATATAGGTCTTTTGTTCTTTTGGTCTGGGCGAGAAACAAAGAAAATAAAAGTCCAAAGAGATTTCTGATTCACTGCAGCATGCGGGTCCTTTACAGACCATTCATATCTTGACAGAAAGAAATGAGACACTATAGAAATAGCCCATTATACTTTGTCTTTATGTGGAGTCTGCTGGGAATTAGGATTTTAGAAACTGGCAAATATAAATACAGGAGAGGTTCTTAGATATAAATAGATTAGCTAATCACACTCAGTAATACTCTTAGTATTCTAACAATGACAAGTGCAATGATTCTGCCCAGGAGCTGCTTTAGTCTAGTTATTTCTTGCCAGATTTTTTTGACTGAGGATCAGGGGAAAAGAATAAAATATTCCATATTCTAGATGGTCAGTAGAGAACTCTTAGGGTGATATTGTTTTAGTCTACCTCTGTAGCTCAGAAAACGATTTTCGTACCATTAGATGTCCATTCACATTGAGTCTCTGGGATGGTACAGTAAAGAGGTCATAAACAATTACCCAATCCACATTTGAAAGAAGAGGCTGAGAGCTTACTTAAGAATAAAATGAGGGCTAGAGATTTAGCTCAGTGGTTCTGCCACCTGCCCCGCAAGCACAAGGACCCAAATTCGATCCCCAGTACAAGGAAAAAAAAAAAAGAGTAAAATGATACTTCTAAAACCTCAAAAGTTACTGACATTTTCTCCTTCAGTTCTTTTCTCCCCATTTCCCTCTTCAAAGAGAAGGCGGACCCAGATTTGAGTCCAAGCTCAGTGAATTCCTGAGCTGAGAAAGTTTGGATAAATCACTTCACCTTTTTAAATGGGATAAATGATAATTGCCTTACTACAGGACTGTTCTGAGGAACTAGATCACATAGGAAAATGAACAAGCAATCCAGTGTGAACTTTTAAGCTAATAGTGATTTATACCCATCAAATTATCTTCCTTCTAGTCTGTTTGTGACACAACTTCCTTTTTTCCTCCTGACCATGACTGATCATAATATGGAACTGGATTTTATTTTTTACACAAGTCCCTAGTCCTTAATTTTTTAAAAAAGTGAATTAAATGTGGTATATTCAAGAAAAGTTAAAAAAAGTTTTTACAAACACCCTAATTGCTGTTGTTATGCCCCCTCAACAGTAAAAATAATTTCATAATTGAGAGTGTAATTTTGCAACTATGACAGACTGCTGACCTCCCTGTTGACATGATTTGAGTCTCACTCATCTATTCCTTATGCATGGATGTCACATCTGTGGATTCAACAAACTGTGAATAAAAAATATTAGAAAAAAATGCATGTGTACTGAACATTTACATTTTTCTTGTCATTATTCCCTAAATAATACAGTATAATAACCACTCACATAGCATTTACATTGTATTAGATGTTATAAGTAATTTAGAGATGATTTAAAGTACATGGGAGGGGGCTGGGGATTTAGCTCGGTGGTTTCGCCACCTGCTACACAAGCACAAAGACCCGAGTTCGATCCCCGGTACCAAAAAAAAAAAAAAAGAATCCTAAAGTACACGGGAGGATGTGCTTAGGTTCTGTGCATATACTATGCCATTTTATATAAGGTACTTGAGAATCTGAGTATTTTGGTGTCCATAGGAGGACTGTGTACTGTATTTTAATTTTTTAGGTAATTTTTTTTCTTATAGATTTTTTTGTAACAAAGAGAAATGTAATACAGAAAAGTGATGTTTGTTTGGCTGAATTGGTACATCATATAATATTTTTAAGTAAGTTAAAGAGCTTAAAGAATTAAAATTCTGTTACCATTGATGAAAATATTACATTAATAAAGAGGAAATAGCGAACACCATTATGGGAAATTATTATACTATGCAGAAATATAGTTCAGTTTCTGGGCATTATAAAGTGTGTGTGATTTAACTTGCCTTTTCACTAAATACCCTTGACCACTAAAACTACAAAATTATAGTATATCTTTTAAATATATTCTTAGTATAATAGTGTTGTCTTCAAGAGTTATGATAATGTAAATATTAATAATGACTAATAATGATTGCATTTATTGAGCACTTACTCTTTGTGAGGCAAGCTTTAAGTAGTTTAATTGTACTAACTCACTTAATTCTAACTAAATTTATCTGAGGTCGATAGTGTCATTATTCTATTTCATAGGTAAAGAAAATGAGGCACAGAGGTTATGTATCTTACTCCAGGTTGCAAAACTCACAAATAGCAGAGCCATGATTCATAGTCAGGTGGTTGTCCTATAGCCCATACTTTTCATCACTGTGGATGTTACACTACCCAGAGAGTGATTTCAGGTGGAAATGTGAGTTTGTCAATTTCAGAACCCTATCTTAAAACCCAAGTCTGTGATTCATGAGCAACATGTGGAAGCTGAGGAACAGAAGGTTTTAGGCAAAGGAAGAGCTGAAAGCTTAATCACACTAAAATGCTTCCTCTGATATCAGATTTCCAGTACCTATAAGATAGAAAAGGTCAAAATGAGAGGGCAGGTCTTGCTATATAAAGTGCTATACACCTCAACTTCCAGTGGGAGACAATCTACTCTAGTTACGAGCATTTTCATATAATAATTTGGAGATTAGGTTGAGTTTAGACCAAATATAGGACTCTGGAATTCAACCTGTAATATTTCTATAGAACTTACACTCAGTGGTAGTAAAGTTACCTTCATCCACACGATGTAGTGGAGGACAAATGAGAAAGAGTGAAGCACTTTTACCTCTCTCAGTCAGGGAGGTAGTATTTTAGGGAGGATCCAAAACTCCTACTCATGCACAAGAATAAGGAATCCCCTAACCAAAAAAAAAAGGGGCCGGGGGGGGGGGCGGGGATTTAGCTCAGTGGTTCCGCTGCCTGCCTCACAAGTGCAAGGTCCCGAGTTCGATCCCCGGTAACAACAACACCCAAAGATGTTATGTACACTAATCGAAATGCCAAGATTGGCAGAGTGGATTAGAAACACAAAGTCAAAATGTGTTGTCTACAAGAACTCACTTGAAACTTAACAATTATAGGGAAATTAAAAATAAATGATGGGAAAGGCTATATCATGCAAACATTAATCAAAGAAAAACAGAAGTAGCTATAATAATATCAGATAAAGTAGAGCTAAGAACAAAGAAAATTAGCAGAGATATATTATGTAAAAATCAATCCAGGATGAATACACAGCAATCCTAAATGTGTATGCACTAAATCACAGAACTGTAAAAGTTGAGAAGTAAAAATTGATGGAATTGAAAGAGAAATACACGTTTACAATTATAGTTGGAGACTTCACATCTTTCTCATCAACTTATAGAAA